CACCATGTTGGCCAGGCTGGTCTTGAACTCCTGACCTCAGGTGATCTGCCCGCCTCGGCCTCCCAAAGTGCTGGGATTATAGGCGTGAGCCACCGCGTCCAGCCAGACTGGCTCTTTTGTTTTTTTGAGACGGAATTTCGCTCTGTGGCCAGACTGGTCTCGAACTGCTGACCTCAGGTGATCCGCCCGCCTCAGCCTCCCAAAGTTCTGGGATTACAGGTGTGAGCCACTGCACCCAGCCAAGTTTTTGAACTCTTTCAAAAAATAACTCCTTGGTCTTGTTAAGTTACTTAAAGTGTGGGCTTCTGTTTTTCCTTTGTAAAGTGTTTGCTGTTTTAAGTTTTTTTGATTCTCACTAGAACCTTTCCTTTGTGTGCTGTAGTTTTGTTGTTTTCCCTGGGTCTAAGGATCTCAGTACATGTTTTTGCAATTATAATACTCATATTTGGTCAATTTTCTTATCCTTTTTCTACCTTTGTTCTTTTCATCTATGCCTGTTTGATTTTTCACACTTTAAACTCCTGAGCTCAGGTAATCTGCCCACCTCAACCTACCAAAGTGCTAGGATTACAAGTGTGAGCCACTGTGCCTGGCCTAAGTTGAAAATAATTTTGAGTCCCTTGAATACTTTTATGGTTTTTCTGAGGAAGTTCATCTTAGATTTGAGTATGTTTAAAAAAAAAAAAGAAAGAAAAAAAAAATAGCCAGGTATCTATGGGGGATTGGTTCCAGGATCCTCTCTAGGTATCAAAATCCAGGTATGCTCAAGTTCGTTGTATAAAATGGTATAGTTTTGCTTATAACCTATGCACATCTACATTTTCCTGTTACTTTAAATGATCTCTAGATTACTTATAATATCTAATACAATGTAATATTGAGTAAAAAGTCTTTATTCTCTATTGTTTAATGACAAAAAAGTTTGTACATGTTTAGTAGAGATGCAACCATCCATTTTTTTTTAAAAAATGTTTTCTGGCTGGGCGCGGTGGCTCATTCCTGTAATCCCAGCACTTTGGGAGTCTGAGCCGGGCGGATCACCTGAGGTCGGGAGGTTCGAGGCCAGCCTGACCAATATGGAGAAACCACGTCTCTACTAAAAATACAAAATTAGCTGTGTATGGTGATGCAGCTACTTGGGAGGCTGAGGCAGGAGAATTGCTTGAACCTGGGAGGTGGAGATTTTGGTCAACCAAGATCACGCCCTTGCACTATAGCCTAGGCAACAAGAGCAAAACTCCATCTCCAAATAAATAAATAAATAATGTTTTCCATCTGCAGTTAGTTGAATCCGTGGATGTAGAACCTGTGAATATGGAGGGCTGACTGCCCTTTAAATTTTTTTAGGCCGGGTGCGGTGGCTCGCGCCTATAATCCCAGCACATTGGTAGGCTGAGGTGGATGGATCACCTGAGGTCAGGAGTTGGAGACCGTCCTGGACAACATGGTGAAACCCTGTCTCTACTAAAAATATAAAAATTAGCCAGGCGTGGTGGTGTGCGCCTGTAATCCCAGCTACTTGGGAGGGGCTGAGGCACTAGAATTGCTTGAACTTGGAATGCGGAGGTTGTGATAAGCCGAAATTGCACCACTGCACTCCAGCCTGGGTGACAGAGCAAGAATCTGTCTCAAAAAAAAACAAAAACAAAAACATATATATATAGTTTTCTTTATCTAGTCATAATGTACTGACTGGATGAGTAGAAAAATTTAATGAAAACTTTAAACCACTGATTTTTATTTATCTTTACAAGGCTATGTCTAATGAACATTGTTCCTTTTTGAAGGGCATACATCACAGAAGGAAGCCATGGAAGTAAGCCTTGATATAACAGCACTCAGCATTCTGCAACAGCCAGAAAAACTTCAGTGGGAGATTGTTGCAAATGTGCTTGAAGATACTGTTAAGGATCTTGAAGAACTTGGGGCAAATCCTTGTTTAACAAACTCTAAGAGTGAAAAGACAAAGGAAAAGCATCAGGAACAGCACAACATTCCTTTTCCGTGTTTATTAGCTGGAGGTTTATTAACATATAAATCTCCTGCTACCTCACCCATTAGTAGTAATTCTCACAGGTCACTGGATGGTTTGAGCAGAACTCAGGGTGAAAGTATATCAGAACAAGGGTCAACTGACAATGAATCCTGCACTAATTCAGAACTAAATTCTCCTCTGGTGAGGAGGACTTTACCGGTTTTGCTTCTTTATAGCATCAAGGAATCTGATGAGAAAGCAGGAAAGATCTTTTCACAGATGAACAATATTATGAGTAAAAGTTTGCATGATGATGGTTTTACTGTTCCACAGATTATTGAAATGGAGCTGGATAGTCAGGAGCAGTTGTTATTGCAGGATCCTCCTGTGACTTACATTCAGCAATTTGCAGATGCAGCAGCCAACCTTACCTCTCCGGATTCTGAGAAGTGGAACTCTGTGTTTCCCAAGCCTGGGACTTTGGTTCAGTGCTTGAGGCTGCCAAAGTTTGCAGAGGAGGAGAATCTTTGTATAGACTCAATAACTCCTTGTGCTGATGGAATTCATTTGTTGGTAGGACTGCGGACATGCCCTGTTGAATCCTTGAGTGCAATAAATCAAGTAGAGGCCTTGAATAATTTAAATAAATTAAACTCTGCACTATGTAATAGACGGAAAGGTGAGCTGGAATCAAATCTTGCTGTAGTGAATGGTGCAAATATTAGTGTAATCCAACATGAATCACCAGCAGATGTACAGACTCCTTTGATAATTCAGCCTGAGCAGAGGAATGTTAGTGGTGGATATTTAGTACTTTATAAAATGAATTATGCCACTCGGATAGTGACTTTAGAAGAGGAACCAATAAAAATACAACATATCAAAGATCCCCAGGACACAATTACCTCGCTCATTTTGCTTCCACCAGATATATTGGATAATCGAGAGGATGACTGTGAGGAACCTATTGAGGACATGCAGTTAACCTCAAAGAATGGTTTTGAGAGAGAAAAAACGTCTGACATTTCTACTCTTGGACACCTGGTAATAACTACTCAGGGAGGATATGTAAAAATACTAGATCTTTCAAACTTTGAAATTTTGGCCAAAGTGGAGCCTCCCAAAAAGGAGGGCACTGAGGAACAGGACACATTTGTTTCTGTGATTTACTGCTCTGGCACAGACAGGCTGTGTGCGTGCACCAAAGGTAAGTTGTTTGATTATGCTATAAATCTTATAAAATCCATATATATATGGCATTTGTTTATGTGCATACCTAGTATGAATTTTAGATTCAAATAGATGGAGAGGAATTAATTTTTTTGTAATGAAGTGGTAAATCCTTCTGTTTAAACTGTTCTTAAAACTTTTTTCTACTGCCCTAGGTAAGGATTCTAACTGTAAATAAGTTAGTAAGTCACTTAGCAAATATCTTCTGCTTTAACCTCAAGAAAATAACATGCTTTTATTTAAGTGAGTCGCTGACTCTGCATCTGCTCAGATTTATGATCTTGGGCAACCTGTTTTTATTTGTTTATAAACTAGGATAAGAAAGTCTGTTTCCTAGGCTTATTAGAGTGAAATAATGTCTGTAAAGTTTCTGGCACAGTTATTGGTCTTTATTTCCTTCCGAAATAAAAATACTTAGCAAACAATTTTTAGTTTTGCTGAATACATTTTTTTTTGGTCTGATTTACTCCTGATCTTTGGCTAGCAGTGGATTAGTTTTGCAAAATTTGAAGCGTTATATAGATTAAGATGGTGTGCAATTATTTTTTCTTTTTTTCTCCTTCCTTACTTTTCCTTTTCCTTTTCCTTTCCCCTTTCCCGCTTTCCCCCTTTCTGTTCCCCTCCCCTCCTTTTTTTCTCCCCTTTCTTTCCCCCTCCCCTCCTTTCTTTTCCTTTTTTTTTTTTTTTTTGAGACCGAGTTTCACTCTTGTTGCCCAAGCTGAAGTGCAATGGCCCAGTCTCAGCTCACTGCAACCTCCGCCTCCTGGGTTCAAGTGATTCTCCTGCCTCAGCCTCCCAAGTAGCTGGGATTACAGTCGCGTGGCAGCACGCTCGGCTAATTTTTTGTATTTTTAGTAGAGACAGAGTTTCACCATGTTAGCCAGGCTTGTTTTGAACTCCTGACCTTAGGTGATCCACCCACCTCGGCCTCCCAACGTGCTGGAACTACAGGCATGAGCCACTGTTCTCAGGGTCTCACTGTGTTGCCCAGGCTGGAGTGCAAGTGGCATTATCTTAGCTCACTGCAGCCTCAATCTCCTGGGCGCAAGCTGTCCTCTCGCCTCAGCCTCCTGAATAGCTGGGACTACAGTGCAGAGCTGGGACTACGCACTATCATGTTCAGCTAATTTTTGTAATTTTTTGTAGAAATGGGATTTCGCCATGTTGCTCAGGCTGGTCTCAAACTTCTGAGTTCAAGTGATCTGCCTGCCTCGGCCTCCCAAAGTGTTGGGATTACAGGCATGTGGCACTGTGCCTAGCCTATTTTTTTCTTTATGTACATTTTAGGTTAGGGAGATAAAGTAGTTTTTGAAAAGGATTACTGACAATATCAGGCAAAATGAATAGTTCTATTGATTGTCTAGTAGGAATTTAGAACTAGGAGATAGTTGAAGCCTAAGTGACTATAACTAAGGCATGGCAGAGGAATTAGGATTTGAGCAGAGTTATGTATGCATCTCATCTGTGGTTCTGATAGTAATTAGACTGTTTTTCCTCTCTTTAAATAGATTTCAAGAGTTTAGCCAAGGAACATAATGGTTAATGTAGTGGTTAGATTGTCTTCTTTGAACTATATGTAGTGAAATTGTTTTTTTACTTTTATTTTTATCTTTTTTGAGGCAGGGTCTCACCCTGTCAACAGGCTGGGGTGCAGTTACGCAATCTTGGCTCACTGCAACTACTGCCTACCAGGTTCAAGTGATTCGCCTGCCTTAGCCTCCTGAGTAGCTGGGACCACAGGTGCGCGTTACCACACTTGGCTAATTTTGTGTTTTTAGTAGTGATGAGGTTTCACTATGTTGGCCAGTCTGGTCTCGAACTGCTGACCTCAAGTGATCCACCTACCTTGGCCTCCCAAAGTGATGGGATTACAGGCGTGATCCACTGTGCCTGGTGAAATTTCTGTAATTTCTAGTGAAAGTTAATGGAAAAAAATCTTCAAATATCATAAAAATCCAACTAGATTAATTTAGAAAATGAACAGTGTAGTCTAATAACTTTAGACTAATAAAACTTTGAGTTACAGATGAGAGTTTCAGAACAACCATTAAAATTCTGTGTGGTATCAGAGATAATTTGAATTTATTGGTCATATATGTTGCAGTTCATTGTTGTAAGAACTTTACCTGTGTTCGTTTAGTCATCACACCAACTTTAATGTACTATTTTTGTCTCCATTTTGTAGATAAACATACTGAAGGAAAGAGAGGTTAAGTAGCTTGTTAAGTAATAGAGCTAATAAATGTCAAGAGCCAGCATTCAAACATCAGAGCACTTTAAATGGCATTATACTGCCATAATACAACAAAAGATGAAGAATCTTACGTTGAATTCTTTGCATTCTTTTCATCTGCAAGATTTAAAAATTGAAAATTATTTAACTTGCTGTAGGTCTTCCAAAATGGAGCTGGACTTGAACCTAGGTGGCACGGCCCTTTGGGGCATATCTTTATAAGACACGACTATTTTCCAGAAATGCAATAAGGGTTTTTAATGCTTTCAATTATTTGATGAGATATGCTTTAGGTAACTCAGAGGAGAAATAGTATTTACGCCTTAAATATTTAAGTTATTAAGGTTTTTAACATTTAAATAAAAGTATTGGCCAGGCGTGGTGGTGCATGCCTGTAATCCCAGCTGGTTGGAAGGCCGAGACAGGAGAATCACTTGAACCCAGGAGGAGAAGGTTGCAGTAAGCCGAGATTGCGTCACTTCACTTCTAGGTGATCGAGCAAGACTCCGTCTCAAACAAAACAAACAAACAAAAAAGTATTTAAAATAGATGGTTGTTTTCTTGGAGTTTGTACAGTCTGGAATTCCTAGAACATGATCGCATATGATAGGGAATTTATCCAGATGAAAGACAAGAAAAACCTGAGAAGTTAGTTGCTTTCAAAATGATCTCCCAATTCTTCAGGGATTGACTAAAGAAGGTGCATTTGAAAAGATAACAACAAAGGGGAAAGAAAAATTGATGTCTTAAAATGTATGTATATGTATGATTTTTAAAAAGCATCTCAGACTGAATCAATTGGATGTGACCCTGTCTTCTGAGTATATTCAAATAACATAAAACTCTTTTTCTTGTGGAGAATCGAGTTTTTTCATAAAAATCTATAGTTAATATATGTTTTAAGTTAATTTTATATGGGATTAATAATATACTAAATGTAGATTTGTTAAGCTATCTTTGATAATTCAGGAATAGAATATATACACACTACATATATGAAATTTTGTAAAAGGCATAAAATATAGTATGAATTTCTTTATAAAAGTGTGGAGTTTAAAATGAAAGATAAATTGGTGTTCTGCTTGGTGCAAATACATTTAAAATCAATAGGAAAGACTTAAATGAGAAAATAAGACTAAGATGTATCAGTGGAGTATAAGGATAGGGTGCAGTTACGATACCTGACAAAATATTAATGCTTAAAAAATAAAGTTTTTTAAAAGGCCGCAATTAATAAGGAACATACCGTGAAATATAACAATACTGAATATAAATATGACCCCAACAACATAAAGTCTGTATACCTGTACTGATATTTAGAAGGAGAATAATAAGAAGTTGAGCCATAATTGCTTTGAAAGTCTTTAATAATCTCACTATCTGGGATTATTGGACTATATGTTCACATCCTTGTTTTGGTACTTGTTTCTTGTGGAAATCATTCCTTTAGTCTTCTGTTCCTGCTTTGCTAAGAGTTTCCAATAGGAATGAATGTTACATTTTGTCAAATACTTGTTTGCATCCATGGAGATCATTTGGTTGTTCTTTTTAGTTCAGTGTATTGAAATATATTGATTGACTTTTGGATATTAAACCAACTTTGCTTTCCTGGGATAAAACCCACTTGGTCATAATGCATTACCTTATATATTGTTGGATACAATTTGCTAAAATTTTGTTCATAATTTTTGCATATTGTTCATCAGGGATATTATATGTTCCTTGTAATCTTTTTTAGTTTTTGCCTTTTGTAATCTTTATCTGATTTTGATATCAGTGAGTTGGGAAGTATTCTTTCTTCAATTTTTTGGTAAAGTTTGCGTAGAATTGGTCTTATTTTTCCTTAAATATTTGGTAGAATTCGCCAGTGAAGCTCTTTGGGCCTGGAGATGTTTTTAGTGGGAAGATTTTGAATATATAAGTTCAATTATGTTTGTAGAGAGTTATTGAGGTTTTTTAAATTTTTTAGTGAGTTCTGATAGTCTTTTTGTCAGTTGTTAAGTTATCAAGTTTTAGCCTAAAAGAATTTCATAATATTCCCCACAATCCTTTTATTTTATTTCCTTTTTTTTTTTTCTTGAGACAGAGTATCACTTTGTCACCCAGGCTGGAGTGCAGTGGCGCAGTTTCGTCTCACTGCAACCTCTGCCTCCTGGGTTCAAGTGATTCTCTAACCTCAGCCTCCTGAGTAGCTGGGACTACAGGTGCACCACCATGCTTGATTAATTTTTCTATTTTTAGTAGAGATGAGGTTTCACTCTTGGTCAGGCTGGTCTTGAACTCCTGACCTCAAGTGATTCACCTGCATTGACCTCCTAAAGTGCTGGAATTACAGATGTGAGCTGCTATGCCTGGCTCCCTACATTCCTTTTAATATTTGCAGACTCTTTACTGATGTCACTGCTCTCATTTGTGATACTGATTGATGATTTGTATGTTCTCTTTTTTTTCCTGATCAATCTGTCTAGAGGTTTATCTGTTTTATTGATTTTTTTTCCCCAAAACAACCAGCTTCTGATTTAAATAACATTTGTTTCTTTGTTGTTTTTCTGTTTTCCTTTTTACTAGATTTCCATTTTAATGTTATTGTTTCCTTCTGCTTGATTTGGGTTTATTTTGTTCTTCTCTAGTCTGTCTTTCTGTCTGTCTTTCTGTCCCTTCCTTCCTTCCTTCCTTCCTTCCTTCCTTCCTTCCTTCCTTCCTTCCTTCCTTCCTTCCTTCCTTCTGTCTGTCTTTCTGTCTTT